TTGGCATTTTATCTTTTTGGATATGATTTTTATTTTTTCTTTTTTTTTTGAGACGGAGTTTCACTGTTGTTACCCAGACTGGAGTGCAATGGCACGATCTCGGCTCACTGCAACCTCCGCCTTCTGGGTTCAAGCAATTCTCCTGCCTCAGCCTCCCAAGTAGCTGGGACTACAGGTGCGCACCACCATGCCCAGCTAATTTTTCTATTTTTAGTAGAGACAAGGTTTTACCTTGTTGACCAGGATGGTCTTGATCTCTTGACCTCGTGATCCACGTGCGTCGGCCTCCCAAAGTGCTGGGATTATAGGCATGAGCCACCGCACCCGGCCAATGTTAATTTTTTCATATGTAAAATATATACATGATTTTAATGTCAAAACTCTTAAGTTACAGTTAGAGAAGTCATGGTTCCATTCAGTACCCGTAAGTGAAAAAAAAAAATCAGTGTACAGAACAGTGTTTAGAATATGTTATCTTTTATGTGCAAATGGATGGGAAGAGGGAGAAGTGTGTGTGTGTGCATAAAATATATATTAAAAATACAGTTGGCCCTCGGAAAACATGGTTTAAACTGCATGGGTCCACTTATATGCTGATTTTCTTATGCCTCCACCACCCCAAGACAGCAAGACAAACCTCCCCCTCAGCTTACTCAACGTGAAGATGATGAGGATGAAGATGTTTATGATGATCCACTTCCCCTTAATGAATAATAAATGTATTTTCCTTATGATTTTTGTAATAACGTTTTATTTTCTCTAGATTATTTTATTGTAAAAATGCAATATATAATACATATACAAAATATGTGTTAAGCAACTATCTTATCAATAAGGCTCAGGTCACCAGTAGGCTATTACTAGTTAAGTTTTGGAAGACTGAAAAGTTAGAGACAGATTTGCAATTATATGGAGGACTGGCACCCCATGCCCATATTGTTCAAGGGCCAACTGTATATATGATATATGTGTGTATCGAAACATATGATGTATATATATATGTGTATGTGTTTGTATGTTTTTTTAAATGATGAGAGAATAATCTAAGAACTAATAAAAATAGTTATCTAGAGAGCAAAGCAGGAATCAGTGTTTCAGGGACAGCGTAGAACCTGGACTTCCCTAAATATGCTGCTGTTTGGTAATTTGTCAGTTTTTATCAACTGGATATAAATGGAAGATGAAGTTTCGTAGTGACACCACAATCATGTCTCGTTTCCTTTTTTTTGGAATATAGATACATCACAATTCTTAGCTAATTCAGTGTCACCGCTTTCTTTATGATTGTTGACATACTGTTTACTACTGAGGCAAGAAATGACTCTTCAGTACCTATACTTATGTAACTTTCTGTCACTCCTAGAGTTACTACTTGCCGTATTTTTCTGCTTCCTATATATTTTTAATTTAAATGACACCCTCAAAATTGTTTGTTTAAATAAGAAATTCATCATTCTTATTACTTTACCTCATTTTGATGCATGAAGGGATAAAAGGGAAATTCTAAGGATCTTCTAAAATTCTAAATTTTAAAAAGGATAGAAGAAACTTTTTATGTTTTTTAACTACTGTAGAATGGTTGGATCAGAACCTAGAAGCTTTTTGTTTGTTTGTTTTTTGTTTATTTGGAGACTTGAATCTTGCTCTGTTGCCCAGACTGAAGTGCAGTGGCACGATCTCAGCTTGCTGCAACCTCTGCCTCCCAGGTTCAAGCAGTTTTCCTGCCTCAGCCTCCTGTGTAGCTGAGATTACAGGCATGTACCACCACACTCAGCTTATTTTTGTATTTTTAGTAGAGACAGGGTTTCACCATGTTGGCCAGGCTGGTCTTGAATTCCTGACCTCAGCCTCTCAAAGTGCTGGGATTACAGGCATGGGCCACCACGCCTGGCCTAAACCTAGAAGTTTTGTGGGGGGACCCAAATGCCAGCATCTATTGTGCCTTTTAATCTTTTTATCTCCTATGTGGAGGTACGTGCCAGCAATCATGAAGCTAAATAACAGAAAGGGATTGGAGATCTCACTCATATTATAGTATATAGCTAATCAAAATCACATGGGAACTCTACATACAGTTATGTCTAGGAAATGTAGTTTTAACTGCCTCAGCCTTTACAGATTGGAAAAGCATAGTGGGAGATTAGAATACATGTTACTTAATCAGATCCATGATATCTGCCTTGGTGTGTAACTGCTGTTTATTCAGATTTTAATCCTCTTCTTTTTAGTCCCACTGTTATCCTACCCACTCGCCCTTTTTGTATGTGATCAGGACTTGCTATATTTCCCAGACTTGGCTTAAACTCCTGGGCTTTAGCAAGCCTTCCAAGTAGCTGGGAATACAGGTGCAGACCACCGCATCTTGTTTTTTAAATTAACAAACGTCATCTTTTAGGTTGATTTTAGGTTCACAACAAAACTGAGCTTTGTATAGAGCTCATGAAAAAGTATAAAGTGGGCTGGGCGTGGTGGCTCATGCCTGTAATCCAAGGACTTTGGAGGCCAAGGCGGGTGGATCACCTGAGGTCGGGAGTTCAAGAACAGCCTGACCAACATGGCAAAACCCCATTTTGAAAGAGAGAGAGAGAGAGAGCAAGGGAGGGAGGGAGGAAGGAGGGAAGGAAGGAGGGAATGAGGGAAGGAAGGAAGGGAGGGACGGAGGGAGGGACGGAAGGAAGGAAGGAAGGAAGGAGGGACGGAAGGAAGGAAGGAAGGACGGAAGGAAGGGAGTATAAAGTGGCTGGGTACAGTGGCTCACGCCTGTAATCGCAGCATTTGAGAGGCCAAGGCAGGCAGATGACGAGGTCAGGAGATTGAGACCATTCTGGCCAACATAGTGAAACCCCGTCTCTACTAAAATACAAAAAAAAAAAAAAATTAGCGGGGCATGGTGGTGCGTGACTGTAATCCCAGCTACTCAGGAGGCTGAGGCAGGGGAATTGCTTGAACCTGGGAGGGGGAGGTTGCAGTGAGCTGAGATCGTGCCACTGCACTCCAGCCTGGGCAGCAGAGCAAGCCTCCGTCTTAAAAAAATAAAAAGTAAAAAGTGTATAGATACCCACTGCCCCAGCACACACACAGTTTTCCCCACTACCAACATCTAGCACCACAGTGGTATATTTGTTACAATCAATGAACCTCCATTATTATTATTATTATTTTTTTTTTTTTTTTTTTTGGAGATGGAGTTTCATTCTTGTTACCCAGGCTGGAGTGCAATGGCGCAATCTCGGCTCACCGCAACCTCCGCCTCTTGGGTTCAGGCAATTCTCCTGCCTCAGCCTCCTGAGTAGCTGGGATTACAGGCACGCACCACCATGCCCAGTTGATTTTTTTGTATTTTTAATAGAGACGGGCTTTCACCATGGTGACCAGGATGGTCTCGATCTCTTGACCTCGTGATCCACCCGCCTCAGCCTCCCAAAGTGCTGGGATTACAGGCTTGAGCCACCGCGCCCAGCTCATTATTATCATTATATACATTATTATTACCCAAAGTCTGTAATTTACGTTAGGGCCACTCCTGATGTTATACATTCTATGGGTTTTGATATATGTATAATGACTCAGACCCATTATAGTATCGTACAGAATACTTTCATTGCCCTAAAACTCCTCTTCCTCCTATTTATTCCTTCTCTCCCATAATCTCCGGCAACCACTGATATCTTTACTAGTCATAATTTTGCCTTTTTAAGTTTGTTTGGAATCATATATTAGGTGGCCTTTTCCAATGTGCTTCTTTCACTTAGCAGCATGCATTTAAGGTTCCTCTGTGTCTCTTTATGACTTGATAGCACATCTGTTTTTTGCATTGATGAATATTTCAGTGTCTAGATGTACCACAGTTTATCCATTCACCTAGTAAAGGGAATCTTCCAAGTGTTAGCAATTAGGAATAAAGCTGCTGTAAATGTCCATGTGCAGGTTTTTTGTATGGACATATGTTTTCAACTTATTGGGGTCAATACCACGCATGATTGCTAAATGATATGGTAATAATATGTCTAGTTTTGTAAGAAACTGCCAAACTGTCTTCCAAAGTGGCTGTACCATTTTGCAGTCCCACCAACAATGAGTAAGAGTTCCTGTTGCTCTGCAAACTTGTCAGCCTTTGACTTACTAATTCCCGCAGGGGGTTTTTGTTAGTTGTTTTTTTTTTTTTTTTTTCCAGATTTTCTAAATAGATGATCACATCTTCTGTGAACAAAGACAGTTCTTGTTTTATTTTATTCTTCCTAATCTGTATAGCTTTTGTTTCCTTGTTATTGCATTAGGTCAGACTTCTAGTACAATGTTGAAAAGCAGTAATGCAAGGGAACGTCCTTGCCTCGTGCTTGTTTATCCCTACCATTTGAGTGCCTGGATTTTCCAGTTCTTGAGCCTTTCCAGTGATACTTGGCCAAATCACTTTGTCACTTCTTGTCATTTGCATCTTCATGATACTTTATGGTTCTGCTAGTTTATGGTTCCCTATATCCTTCTCATCCTGCAGTATTTTGTTGAAATCTTTTGTTCACCCTTTTTAGACTCATTGTCTCCTTTTTCTTATGGATTTAACCATTTATTCTTTCACTGTCATTTTTAATGGATTTTTAGGAAGGAGGAAAAATAAGTGCATGCATTCAGGCCAGTGTGTTTAATCACAAGTGTTTATTTTATTACTTAGCCATTTGACTTCCTGTCAGTCATTTTTGTGTTCACTCTTTCATTTTAATTATTCTGTTCTTTTTGCTGATTTCTGCACTGTATATGGACACTCTAAAACTTAGTCAAAGTTGTTTGGACCTACAGATGTCAGTTTGTGTCTCCGTATGTTTTATGTAGTAGTTAACTTCTCAAACCTTAGGAACTAGGAGCTTTACTCTTAGCTTTCTTTTGTATTGGATGACTAGGCCAACAGCAAAGATTAAACCCCACATTAGCCAATTTCTGATATGTTATTAATAGTATAGTGGTAGAATAATTCACAAGTAACAATTTTTGGTCCTCCATTTTAGAAGTTTGGGAAGTCGATGAACAGATCAAGAAGCAACAGGAAACACTTGTGAGGAAAGTCACATCCATCTCCAAGAAAATTCTGATTAAGGAAAAAGCCATTGAATGTAAAAAAGTTGCAAAAATATTTCCTCTGAGTTCAAGCATTGTTACTTCAAGACAAAGCTTCTGTGAATGTGATTCATTTGATAAGGGTTTGGAACATAATTTAGACTTACTCAGATATGAGAAAGGCTGTGTAAGAGAGAAACAGTATGGATGTAATGAGTTTGGGAAACCATTTTATCATTATACATCCTATGTTGTAACCTCCTTTAAGTGTAATCAGTGTGGACAAGACTTTAGTCATAAATTTGATCTCATTAGACATGAGCGAATTCATGTTGGAGAGAAACCTTACAAATGTAAAGAATGTGGAAAAGCCTTCAGTAGGAAGGAAAATCTTATTACACATCAGAAAATTCATACTGGGGAAAAACCATACAAGTGTAATGAATGTGGAAAAGCTTTCATTCAGATGTCAAACCTTATTAGACACCAGAGAATTCATACTGGGGAGAAACCGTATGCATGTAAGGATTGTTGGAAAGCCTTCAGTCAGAAATCAAATCTCATTGAACATGAGCGAATTCACACTGGAGAGAAACCCTATGAATGTAAGGAATGTGGGAAATGCTTCAGCCAGAAGCAAAATCTTATTGAGCATGAGAAAATTCATACTGGGGAGAAACCTTATGCATGTAATGAATGTGGTAGAGCTTTTTCTCGAATGTCATCTGTTACGCTACATATGAGAAGTCACACAGGGGAGAAACCTTATAAATGTAATAAATGTGGAAAAGCTTTCTCTCAATGCTCAGTATTTATTATACATATGAGAAGTCACACTGGTGAGAAACCCTATGTATGTAGTGAATGTGGGAAAGCCTTCTCTCAAAGTTCATCCCTTACCGTACATATGCGAAATCATACAGCTGAGAAACCCTATGAATGTAAGGAATGTGGAAAAGCCTTCAGCAGGAAAGAAAATCTCATTACACATCAGAAAATTCATACTGGAGAGAAACCTTATGAATGCAGTGAATGTGGGAAAGCTTTTATTCAGATGTCAAACCTCATTCGACACCAGAGAATTCATACGGGTGAGAAACCCTATGCATGTACAGTATGTGGAAAAGCCTTTAGTCAGAAATCAAACCTCACTGAACATGAGAAAATTCATACTGGAGAGAAACCTTATCATTGTAATCAGTGTGGGAAAGCTTTCAGTCAGAGACAAAATCTTCTAGAGCATGAAAAAATTCATACTGGAGAGAAACCATTCAAATGTAATGAATGTAGTAAAGCCTTCTCTCGAATCTCATCCCTCACTCTTCATGTGAGAAGTCATACAGGGGAGAAACCCTATGAATGCAATAAATGTGGGAAAGCCTTTTCTCAGTGCTCATTACTTATTATCCATATGAGAAGTCATACTGGTGAGAAACCCTTTGAATGTAATGAATGTGGGAAAGCCTTCTCTCAAAGAGCATCCCTTTCTATGCATAAGAGAGGTCATACAGGTGAGAAACGCCACATGTATTAAATGAAAGAAGGTCTCTTAAATCCAACCCATGTTTTACTTAAAATATCTTAGTATAAGCTCAAAAAAAAAATTTGTGGAAAAATTGTAATATTTTGTTAAAAGATGTAAGACTGGAATAAATGGAAATACTCCATTTATGCATAGATGGAAAAACCCCAAATTATAAAAACCTCAATTCTAAAAATCTGTAGACTGAATGCAGTTCCAAACAAAATCTACTCAGAATTTTCTAGGATCTTTCCAAAATGACTATAAATTCATGTAAAATAGAACTGTATGGATTGCTGAGACAATTTTGAAGAAGAACAGAGGAAACACCCTCGCTGTATGATATAAAGTTACAGTCATTTAAAAATGTGTGCTATTAGTACATTAATAGGTAAATAAGCAGTTTTTAAAGAATAGGCTACCCAGAAGCAGACTGATGAATATATGTGAACTTGGTGTATGTTAGACTTGTCATCATGAATTAGTAGGGAAGTGATGACCTCATCAATAAAATTGTTGGGAATATTTGACTCTTCATATTGAAAAATTAAAATTACATATAACCTTATGACATATTAAAAAATCAATATTCTTTTTTTTTTTCTTTTAGGCAGTCTCACTTTGTAGCCCAGGCTGGAGTACAGTGTCATGATCTCAGCTAACTGCAGCCTCTGCCTCCTGGGTTTGAGCGATTCTTATGCCTCAGCCTCCCCAGCAGCTGGGACTATAGACTCGCACCACACACTGGGCTAATTTGTTGTTGTTGTTGTATTTTTAGTAGAGACAGGGTTTTATCATGTTGGCCAGGCTGGTATCAAACTCCTGACCTCAAGTGATCTGCCCTTTTTGACCTCCCAAAGTGCTGGGTTTACAGGCTTGAGCCACTGTGCCCAGCCAAAAAAATCAATATTCTAAAGGACTTAAATACTGGAATTTGAAAAGCCAAACTGTGAAACCATTGGGAGAAAGTAGACGATACTACCTATGACATTGAGGGAGCACGTTTTTTTTTAAAGACAAAAGGACTGTGCAATTCCAATTCTAGTTATACATCCTATAGAAAGTCACAAATAATGCATAAGAAATATATATAAAATATATGTATGTATGTATAGCCAGTGCAGCGGCACATGCCTATAATCCCAGCTACGTGGGAGGCTGATAGAGGAAGATAACTTGAGCCCAGGAGTTTACGGCCAGCTGGGAAACAGTAAGACCCCATCTCTTTAGAAAAAAAATATATAAATACATATCTGTAATGAAAACCTAAATATTAATCAGTGGGGTAACCGATGAATAAAATATGGTATGTTCAAATGGTAGAACAGCATACAGCACTTAAAAGCAGTGAACCAGATCCGTATTTGTAACATTGATAATTAAAACAATGTTGAGTGAAAAAAATACAAATGAAACACACTGTGTAATAATATGTAAATTGAAATGAAATCATTTATAAAGTGACTGTTTCTATTATTGAAAAGTGTATTTAAAACTATTTAAAATAGAATAGAAGAATACATACCAAATTATTGACAGCATTGTCTCTGGAGATTGAATTTGGGGATGTTGATTAAAAGGAGCCTTTAGCTTTGCTTGTAATTTTTATGCCTTAAAAAAGACTGGTAGCATATAAAATAAATATTAAAAGCTAATGATACACAATGATTATATGAATGTTTGGTTGTAATAATGTTTTCCTAGTTGTTTTCTAGAACAGGCCAGGGGAAGACTGTGCTCATAGAAAGAAATGTTAATAAATGAATTCATATGCCTTATCAGATGCTCAACTATTTTATGAAAAATATCTCTAGAAAATTAATAATTAGAATACTCCTGTTTATTATATAATAAGAAGTTAGCACATTTTATCAACTCTATGATGCTGTTTTTTTATATTTTAACATTTCTGAAATTGGACCCCTTTCAACTGATATTTTAGATTCAAGTAAATTATTAAAAATTTGAAAATCAGATGGCAGTATAACAAATGAAATGTGTTTTTATTTACTAGCTTAGGGCATCATGGTCTACTATTCATGGTGCCTGTCCTCTTAGTATAGCTAGTATAGACAGCAAATTTGTTAGATTCATAGCTAACTAATTACCAATATATTTAGAATCACTGTGGAGAGATTAGGATTTTTCCTGAGAAAATGACTTTGCAATATTTGTTTTCTTGCCCTGTAATTTTCCATGCAACCAGCATAGGCATGAATATCATTGTTAATTATTACAATATTTTGAAATGAGAAATCATTTATTTCCTGAGGTGGCCATAAGCAATTGTGTAAAAGTGTGTTGGTCTTAACCTAGAGACCTTATTATTTTTACAACTCTTGACTTACACAGCCTATCCAGTTTTGATTGGAAATGTTGATGATCTTAGACCCTGAGCACAAGTAATAGAGTTCCTCTTGAAGAGTCACATTCTCTGTCATAATACATGAACCAACTCTTACAGAAGTCATGTTTTTATTATGCCATCTCTACAATATTATTTGATATATAATACAGAAAGCTGCTATTGCCTTTTTAAAAAGGAGATGGGGCCGGGCATGGTGGCTCAAGCCTGTAATCCCAGCACTTTGGGAGGCCGAGGTGGGTGGATCACCTGAGGTCAGGAATTCAAGACCAACCTGGCAACATGGTGAAACCCCATCTCTACTAAAAATATAAAAATTTAGCTGGTTGTGGTGGCAGGGGCCTGTAATCCCAGCTACTCAGGAGGCTGAGGCAGGGAATTGCTTGAACCCGGGATCACACCATTGTACTCCAACTTGGGTGACAGAGTAAGGCCCTGTATCAAAAATAATAATTATAAATAAAAAGGAGATAGGCTGGGTGCAGTCACTCATGCCCAAGCACTTTGGGAAGCTGAGGCAGGTGGATTACTTGAGGTCAGGAGTTCAAGACCAGCCTGGCCTATAATATGGTGAAACCCCACCTCTACTAAAAATACAAAAATGGCCAGGTGTGGTGGCACGTGCCTGTAATCCCAGCTACTCAGGAGGCTGAGGCTGGAGAATCGGTTAAACGTGGAGGGCAGAGGTTGCAGTGAGCCGAGATCGTGCCACTGCACTCCAGCCTGGAAAACCCAGCAGGACTTTATCTCAAAAAAATAAAAATAATAGGCTGGGCGCGGTGGCTCTTGCCTATAATCCCAGCACTTTGGGAGGCCAAGGCGGGTGGGTCACGAGGTCAAGAGATAAAGACCATCCTGGTCAATGAGGTGAAATCCTGTCTCTACTAAAAATACAAAAATTAGCTGGGCATGGGGGTGTGCACCTGTAGTCCCAGCTACTCGGGAGGCTGAGGCAGGAGAATTGCTTGAACCCAGGAGGTGGAGGTTGCGGTGAGCTGAGATCATGCCATTGCATTCCAGTCTGCGTAATGAGCGAAACTCCGTCTCAAAACAAAAATAAAAATAATAAAAAGATAAAAATAGGGGATGTTTGTCAAAAGGGATCTTTAGCTTTTATGATTGAACATTAACTATGTTTATTTGAAGTTGATTTCACAAAGGTAAATCTCAAACTAAAGTTGTGAAGTACAACCATGACTACCAATTTTGATTGTTGCTAGGTATTTTTGAAGACTGATGACTTGTCATCAACAGCAGGGACTGACTTTAATGAAAACAATTACAATTTACCAAAACTGAAATATCTAAATGAGTATTATCATTTCATACTGCCTCCTTAAATAGGTTTTATACTAAATCCAGTTTTCCCAACATACCCAATATTTATATGTATTTATTTATATAAATAAATAAATATATATGTAATTTTTTTTTGAGACCAAATCTCACTCTGTCACCCAGGCTGGAGTGCAGTAATAGGATCTTGGCTCACTGCAACCTCCGCCTCCCAGGTTCAAGTGATTCTTCTGCCTCAGTCTCTGAGGCTGAGCATAGCTGAACACAGGCACACTCCGCCATTCCCAGCTGATTTTTTGTTGTTGTTGTATTTTTAATGGAGATGGGGTTTTTACCATGTTGGCCAGGCTGGTCTCGAACTCCTGACCTCAGGTGATCCACCCACCTCGGCTTCCCAAAGTGCTAGGATTACAGGCCTGAGCCACCGCGCCCAGCATATAAACCTTTTTTAAAAAATAGTTTTCACATTTCATGTAGCCACACAAATGTATATGTATAAATACTTGCAAGACATTGTTTCTTTGTCTAAACTGTTGTTTTTCTCTGTGATTTTCTTTTTAATTTTTTTTTTATTTGCCCTGTACTTTATATGCCTTAAGTCCTCTGCCCCTTTCTTTACATAGCTTTGGAGTCAACAGAGAAATGTAAAATGCCACTCAAGGTCCATAAGGACAACCTAAGATTTCTCTTTTGGCCTCTCATCCCAGTAAGACTGGCTGAGCCTATTGGTTGACGTAAAGTACCTCCAAGTAAACTTGAATCTGAGGTCTAAAGGTGTTTTACTGATCTTATGTCAGCAAGCAGATGATCTGGTCTCCGTAAGTTCTCACTATGTTGCTCAGGCTGGTATTGAACTCCTGGGCTCTAATGATCTTCCTTTCCCTGGATCCAAAGTGCTGGGATTAGAGATTTAAACCACCATGCCCAGGCTTTTTTGTTATATACATATATATAAACAAGTTTAATATATATATAATAATTATATATATTATATATGTATATATATATATTGTTTTTGTATCATGTGGCTTGGTAAATTTCTGTAATAATACCATGTGTGTCCTTTATGTGTTTGCTTTAACAGTGAGTTTTATAGTTTCACTTCTTTTTTTTTTTTTTTTTTTTTTTACCAGTTAAACTGAATGTTTAATACATTTGTAGGAACAGAAGAAATGTAGTAAGGATTAAAATCTTATAATTACATTTGATGTATTTGTAAAAGATGTTTCATTTTTCAAAGAAGTTACCCCCTTTTCCCTGTCTTTTTTTTTTTTATCTTCCTCAGAGCAATAAGTGGGAATTACTACATTTATGGACAAGCTGCTCTACTGTATTGGACAGTAATTATTATATCTTTACGTTTCACATCATTATTACCTCCCAAAATTCTACCTTCATTTCCCTGCACAGTTTCCCTGCACAGTTTCACAATAAAACTGTACTCCACTCACATTAGAAGAGCCGAAACAAATTACAGCAAACCGCAGTCAAATTCATATGAATGAATGATAGAGAACCAAAGATTTTAAAGTGCTGATTTAGTAACATAGTGTCTACTGTTACAGACTTTCTATTTCATCATATTATTAAAACAACAACAACAGAAATGAAAGCTACATTAATGAAAAAGAAACTTAGGAATGAGGTCATTAAATATAACTAACTACATTTTAAATACAGATATTATGTATTTCCTGATTAGTATGCGGTAAGTATCTAGACTTCTGTCCTGAATTCCGGTCTCAGATAAAAAGGTCAAAGACAGTTACAAGGAACATGCTTCATATTATCAGGTCCATTTTTTAAATGATGAGGTCCTTTAGGAAATTGCTTTAGTCTTTCTTTTTTTTTTTTTCAGAGATCTCTGTTGGTCCTTTTGTTGGCAATCCATTCATGTCTGCACCCTTACAGTCTACTTTGCCTTTGTTTGTATCATTGGTTTCTTGTACAGCTTTTTTAGGCCATATATGACCAACGAAGGGGGAAATCAGAGGGTATATGTATGGCTCCAGGAATTTTTTGTAGATCCAGAGCAGAACTGGAATGACAATACAAGGAATGCACACCATTGTCCTGGGCTTGAGCTCCTCAACTGTTGATACTCAACCCCGAAAAGCGGAGCTGACAATGTTTCACTTATTTTCATGATGGTGTTATAGTGTTATCCTTTTGCTTCGAGGTTTAGGATCCCCTTGAGCTTTTCTTTCTTATTTATTTATTTATTTTTGGTCTTTTCTCAGACAGTTTCACTCTGCTGCCCAGGCTGGAGTGTAGTGGATCCATCTCAGATCAATGCAACCTCTGCCTCCCAGGTTCAAGTGATTCTCATGCCCCAACCTCCTGAGTAGCTGGGATTACAGGCACATACCATCACACCAAGCTAATTTTTGTATTTTTAGTAGAGAGGGCTTTTACCATGTTGGACAGGCTGGTCTTGAACTCCTGGCATCAAGTGATCCATCCGCCTTGGCCTCCCATACTGCTGGGATTAGAAGCGTGAGCCACTGCACCCAGCCTTCAGCTTTTCTTGTAAGACCAGTCTAGTGGTAAAAAACTTCCTTAGCATTTTCTTGTCTAGAAAGGACTATTTCTCCATTTATAAAGGATAATTTTGCTAGATGTAGAATTCTTGGCTAGTTTTTTTTTCTTTTAGCACTTTAAATATATCATCTCATTTTTTTTTTCTTTTGGCCTGTAAGGTTTCTGCTTACAAATCCTCTATTAGTCTTAATGGGGTTTCTTTTATAGGTGACTAGATGCTTTTTTCCTTTTTAGGATTCACTCTTTATCTTTGACTTGAAAGAATGTGAATGTAATTGTGCCATGGAGAAAAACTTCTTGCATTTTCTCTCTTTTATATTGCAGTCCTTCTGTGTCTGGATGTCTGAATCGCTTGTTAGACTTTGGAAGTTTTCGTCCATAATTTCATTAAATAGGTTTCATTACTAAATAATGGTACCACAGTCACCTGTTAATGAATAGCTGTGTTGTTTCCAGTTTGGGGGCTGTTAACAAATAAGGCCACCATGAACATCTGTGTAAAAATTCTTTGTATAGATGTATGTTTTCATTTCTCTGGGATAAATACTAAGGATTGGATTGGTTAGGTAGTATAGGGGATATGAAATTCATGAAAATTCTTAATTTTAGACCTGTCAATTCAGTCTCAGTTGTTTCATTTTTCATAGCTTGATAAGTGATGGAAATATATGTATGAACACAGATGAATGTCAGCTGCACTAGGCTTTGGGCAGATTGCCAGCACAAAAGCCAAGGCAAAGCCTCTATAGCTGCTTCTGGGGCATAACTAATGACTGTGT